TGTGTGTGTGTGTGTGTGTGTGTGTGTGTGTGTGTGTGATTTCTTGCCTTTTCCTTTTATATAAAAAGAAAGAATGAACTTTTTGAAATGTCAACAGCAACAGCAAAAAGAACAAGTTTTTTTCTCCTCAGGTGTCATAGTGAATTTGTAGAAAAACAAAAGTTCCAACAATACCACACACAGATTGGACAATAGAACTCTACCCACAACACTGAAATTCAACATTGATGAACCCCCATTCTCAGGGATGGATATGTTTCACAGGTCAGTGCTGACCCTGTGAAACCCTGCATGCTGTCTTCTCTGCGCATGCATTTGCACTCTTGAGGTTTCTGTTATCTTCAGAAACACACCAGAAATAGCAGATAGACCCGTGCCTACTGGAGTTGGGTGTCTATCTTAAAAGTCAGTTGCCCAGTCATTCCAGAGCTTCTGTGCTTCCACAACTGGTTTCTGTGTGGCAGCCTGCTCCCACTCTTCTCACTCAGGCTTCAAACCCTGCCCCGGAGATCCCATTGAGCCTGAGATGTAGATATTCAAGAGGGATGCCTACACCTTGTCTGGGAAAAGAGAAACTCGCTTGAGGGACTGCAGAGGCATCTTCTCCCCCAAAGTCTGTCCCTTGTGCCTCCAGGACATCTACTTCCTCTTCAGAAGACTCAAGTCCTGTAGGATACCACCCACTGCTAAGATAATGCAGCCTGGGCTATGCCCACCCATTGCCATCAAGTGTAGGATTCACAGGGCACAGGAGAATGGTCTCCCAAAACAGCAAGGGGCCTTTACTCTCCTACAGTGCTCTCTGACCAGAAACACCCCCCACCCCCAAGAAACTCTGGTCCTCTAAAAAGCAGTGCTGTTTGAATCATCCTGTTCTATCCCCCAGGCCTGCCCTGCTTCTGAGGTTGTTTGTTACTTCACCAGAGGGCTGTGCGCGTACAACACACACTTGTTTGGTACCTTTCCAGATATGGTACTTTAACCAGAGACTGGAATACTGTGACCTAGAGCCTTTCTGTAACAGAAAGTGGATGTCAGGAAAACGCTGTCTGTGAACGTGCATTGCTTTCTTCTCCAGGAAATAGTAGATAAAAGGCCGTGAGAAACACTTTTTTCAGACTTACAAGGTCCCTAGGTCAGACTTAGGAGAGTTGGCATTGCCTGGAACATCCTCTACTTCATTCTTCTTCTCCAGGCCTTGCCTGAATTGGGTTAGGACTGGAGTCCCCTCAATGGCTCTTAGTAAATAAGAGAGAGCAGATCCAACCAGGTTAGCTTCTTAAAGCCCTGACCAGGCCAACCTAGGGCTTGTCAAAGCCAGACATCTCCTGAGTGGGGGGTCTTTATGATCATGGGATGGGGTTAGGGGGAGATGAGGAGGGTGTCAGGAAGACAGCGTATTTTGCAGAGACTGCTCTTCACTTTGATAAGTAGGAAGTGTCCTTGAACTCTCAGATGGGCTTGCTGGGTCCATCTTGCGTGGCTATAGCTGTTGTGCTTTCCTTCCCTCCACCCACAGCTTAGGGTGATGATAGCACAGAGAAAACTCCAGAAACCATAAACACAGCGAAGGCCCACGTCCACATGGATGGTGCCCTCTGTGTGTAGCAAGAGTTCTTGAGTGTCTGATTATAGGTGTGTGAGTGGAGATGGCTGTGACGTGGTAGCAGCATAACATTATAGCTACTGAGCTGGAGAGTAGCATGGTATCTGTTGCTTGCAGGAAGTGTAGAGTAGGTGACAGTCCTATATGCATCCTGCCCAGGAGAGGGAATAGGGTGTGACAAAGAAACGTGATGGGTTCAGATCTTTGCACCCAGTTCCAAAGTGAACCTAAAAGGACCTTTAGTGGTCTCTCCAGCATTGTCTCTCTGTAAGACAGAGAATACCACCCTCTGAATATGTTTCATGTCTCAAGTATTCACATTCCAAGTCCAGGAATTTTATTCCACAATCCTTTGGTAGGAACACTGATCACAGGGAGAGTTGTATCATAGAAGACCTCTGTCTGAACATCGGAAGGGAAAAAAGAATAAAACCTAGTGGTCTTGAGTTTTTTTAAAAGCGGTTTTGTTTGTTTGTTTGCTTGTTTTGGAGGGTTCTGGGAGAATTGGTTTTTATCAAAGAGAGCACTTAATTTATCCTCTGAGTGACTCAGGGCTATTTATCTGATAGATGGGAAAATACCTTTAAACAGAGTGCCTTAAAATATATGATGCAAGCATAAGTAATTTTTGGCCAATAATAGTCTTAATTCGCAAGAGTGGCTCTCTTAAATGGTTGCAGTTCCTTCTGCAGTTGTCTTGCCTGGCAGATGGGCCGGAAGTAGGTAGTGTGCTCTGAGGCTTAGGACAGCTGGGGGAGTTGCCACTGGGAACACAAGGGTCACTCAACCTGGGGTTCCAGCCTAGATCTTTTGGAATCATTTGGTGCTTAATTTTTTCTTTCTTGAAGGGTAGAAAAATTCCCATGCATATCTCCATCTCACATGTGTGTCTGAGCAGAAGCCTAAAGCCACCAAATTGCAGGAAAGAAGATGTGCACAGGGGCCTCCTGAGAGCATCTGTGGCATGGAATGTCTTTTGCAGCCCAGTCCGATTTCAGAGTCTTTCATTTTATAGTGTATGCCCATACTTGCTGGTTTCAGTAGGATTGAGACTCCATGGAACCTCTAGGAATAATGGTGAAAACACACCATTATTTTGGCGTAGACCAGTTGATTTGTTTATAAACAATTCACTTAGTCCAAGAAGCACTGCCAGCAGGTTGAGGAGTTCGATGTGTTGGGCATGTCGCCACTAATAGAAGGAAAGAAGAAAGAAATGGTGCTTTGTACTACCCAAAGGCTCTTTGAATGTGGGCCCATGCTTTCCAAAATTAGGATTGAGGTAGTAGACCAGTTACTTTTGAGTTTCAGGATCACTGATGGGAGAGCCAGGCCATAGCGCCAGTTTTTCTGAGTTGTAAGCTTCTGTTTCAAATGTTTGTCCCAGATACATTCCAGCGAATTTCCAACAAGCCCTTGAAAGCACAGTCCACGTAACTACTGACATCTTTTTGGCCTCCTTCAGTCACCACCTCACGTCCCTCTCCCTCTACATTTGGGCAGTTGAATTTGGCAGGTAGCCAGTGCATTGGGCCAAGAGAGAAGTTGCTGAACTCTTTGTTTCTGCTGACCACATGGAGAGACCAGCTTTGCAGTGTAACCATGTAGCCCTGCCTGGTTTCCCCCCTTCTCACTGAGCTTTATTTATTTATTTATTTTATTATTAACTGGATGAAGAAAACAGTCAGGCTTGCCCTGCCTGTCATCTTCCCTGTTGGGACAGCTTGTTCTCAGGCGTGGAGAGTGTCCTCCTGATGTCCTTAGGGTATCTGCCAAAAGGCTGAGATGACAGGCCATTAGGCACACTCATTTGGAACCCAGACATGCAGCTGCATGCCTGCAGAGCACATTTCACTCCAAGTAGAGGGAGCAACCAGACTCAGGAGAGTCCCTTCCCAGCCTACTATGTGAGAGGAAGGGGCTACTCTCTGTGTCTCCCAGATACTACGCTGGGGGACTGGCAGGTCATTCGACCAGTGTCCATTCCTAAAGTCAGACTAAAGGACTTTCTCCCTGTACCCAGTCCTTGAGGACTAACTAGACTTCTCCAGGTGAAATGTCTACTGAGCAACTATGCATTGTTGGGACAAGGTTTACAGAGCTCCGCCATGACAAAACCCCATTGTGTGGGTGCATCGCGGGTCTCAACCCCCAAACCTACCCAAACAGACCTCCATCCTAAGCCGTTGATGGAAACGTCTCTAAAATGATTTGCCAAAATGTAAAAGCAAAATTCAAAGGTCCAAGATCATTTCCACCAATCACAGTTTTTCTGAAGGAACTTGTAACCTGCACCATACCATACTTCTGGAGGCTCCATTTCGTCTTTCTGGGGCCACTACAGCAAAGTATTGCAGTTGTACAGTTTCTGATCTGGCCTTGGCTTGCTCAGATGAAAGTTTGTATTTTGTATCACACAGATTCTATGTTGTATTGCTACCCGGTGCAAAAAGAAAACAAAAACTGTAAACTTTCTCATGTTAACACATACACATGTTTAGTGATATTTACATTTTAAAATAAAATTTGTGATTCGTTGGTTTGCTGGAGTGGATTCCTTTGAGGGGTATGCCTTGGAGAAGTTGGAGTAGGATGAAGAGAATGGACAAACTCAACTGTAACGCCTTGAGTTTGCGAAAGTGATTCATGGATCAAGAAGAGCTCTTTGGGAGTGAGCGGTTGGTCTCCATGGGCAAGCCTGCCCTCTCCATGCTTTTCCTGGGCTCTGTCCGTTCATAGAATGCCAACCCCTCAGCCCATCCCCAAGAACCCCCCCTAAATTCATTCCCTCTGCTCAAACTCTACCCGGATGGCAACCCCAATTTCTCTTCTTTCCAACACCAGTGGACCCCAACCTCAGTAGGACTTCAACAAAATGTTGCTTCCCATTCCTCTTTTCAGAGTCCCTGTTCCCAACCATGGAAGTCTCCACAGTTGTCACGGACAACTAACCCTGGAAAGCTCTGCAGGGACATGCCTGGTTGCAGGGGTTGCTGGGGACCGGGGGTTGGGAAATACTACATTGTTAACAAAGTTTATTGAAGTCTCCAGTAATCATCAGCTGCCCTTAACCTCCTCCTACCGGCTAATGAGCCCCACAAAGCAGAAGTGTCTACAGCGCTGGACTCAAGCTGCAGAGACCAAAGAAGATAGGTGAGAATCCTGCCCCAGCCAAGAAGCAGTGCTAGTTGCTTTAGATAGTGTCTGCTGGCATAGACAACTGCACCTAGAAAAATGAGAA